TGACTTTTTCCTCCATTTTGCGACAGTACTCAACCAGTTCAGTGAGCATCCTGATTACTTGTGTTTTGAACTGTGCATCTGATAGGCTGGCGATCTGTTCATCACTTAGTTCTGTTTTTGGAGCTTTGATCTGTTCCTTCATTTGGGCCATATTTCTTTGTCTCCGCGCACCTGTTATGTTGGAAGGGGCAAAGCCTTCGGTATTCGTCAGGGCTGGGCAACCATGGTTGCTGCCTTACGTCTCTGTTTGTGGGGGAGGGGTTCTAGAGGGAGCATTGTTACTTGCTCAGCTCTCAGCCGGCTTGTAGTCACTTCCCCCACTATCCAAAAGCAAATTGGGCCCTTCTGGTGCTGATTCCTGGGTGGGTGGGGTTTGTGAAGGTTGTAGGACCCTATAGGTCTCTACAACGAACTCCCTTGAACTCCCTTGTGAGGCTGGGAGTTTCTCTTGCCACTGAAACCCCCGATAGGTGTTTACAGCCACGGGGATTGAAGCTTTCTTTTCCCGCACTGGAGCCCTGGGTTGTGAGGTCTGTCTCTCTCCCCAGCTGTTCCTCCTGGTTTATCCACATGCAAATGTCAATCACCCAGTCCTCCAGCTGCGGTCTAGCCTGCCTTGCCCTCCTGGTCCTCTAGCCTTTCCCTTGCTGTGAGTCCCCTCGCCCTGGCTGCCCGTCCCCACCCCTCCTACTGTTCTGGGTGAATGTTTCTTCTTTAACTCCTTGGTTGTTGGAATGCCATACAGTTCGATTTTCTGGCAGTCTTGGTTATGTTTATTTTTAAATTTGATGTCTGCCTTTTGGTTGTGCAAGGAGGCAAAGTGTATCTACCTACGCCTCCATCTTGGCCAGAAGTCCTTCACATCCATTTTAATGACAGCCTTGCCGGGTAAAGTAGTCTTGGCTGCAGGCGTTTGTTTTCATTACTTGGAATATTTCTTGCTATTCCCTTCTACCTTGTAGTGTTTCTGTTGAGAAAGCTGCTGCTAGCCTTATCGGAGGTCCCTTGTATGTTACTATCTGTTTCTCTCTTGCTGCCTTTAAGATTTTCTCTTGTCTTTGAATTTTAATTATGATGTACCTTGAAGTGGGCCTCTTTGGGTTCATCTTGATTGGGATCCTCTGTGCTTCCTTGACTTGTGTGATTTTTTTCTCATCAAGTTAGAGAAATTTTCTGTCATAACTTTTTTAAACAGGTCTTCTAATTTGAGATTTGAAATACAAAGACAGTCACTATCTAGATATAAGATTGAAGAACTGTAACAACAACCTTATCCCTACCGATGAGCAGAGTTTGATAAAGACGGAGAGAGAATAAGGGTATTTTAAGAAGGGGAGAAAGAATGTGAGATGATTTCTTCCAATCACAAATGTTTTTGAAAGGCTAGAGAGGGGAGCAATAGTAATAGTGCAGAATAGAAACAAGTTGTAGGAAGAGAGAAAATAGAATTAAAAAAAAAATACGAAGGAGGAGGAAGGGTGTAGTATCGAGTAAGGGAGTAGAAGAGCAATATATGAGATTTGAAATAAATTATATGATAAAACCCGTGCCATATTATGCCCAAATTTTAAGAATATGAAATGAATGTTAAACAGCTTTGCAGGAGAGAAAATAGTGTCTTGTTGTACCTGTCTCTATTTCCTCTGCTCTGCTTGGTTTAGTAAATAAGGGCCTGAGGAGCGGTGTAGCATGTAGTGCCTAGGGACGGTCGTTTTTCTTCCTTTCTCAGAGGAAATGTACTCAGTGGGAAACTTCTAGGCCTAACCTCACCGCCCTGCTGAGCCTATAATCCTGCAGGTTAACCTGTCTGTGAAAAGCTGTGGCTGACTGGAGGAGATTTCAGGCATTCGGCTCCTGCCTTCCAGACCCAACCTTGCTGCTCTTTCACGGGAGGTTTGGCCTGAATTCTCCACTCTGCTCTGCTCTCTGCTTGCAAGCCATGTTGGATTAGGACCTCCCAGTGTATTCTATGCCTCTGAGTTTTTTGGTTAGCAAAGCAGCTGTATCCTGCTTGCGCACACTGCCCTGTGCACCCGGGTCCCTGCCCATCCTTGGATATGTCTCAGCTCCCCTTTTAAAAGTCTCTCTCTATGGCTCCCATGCTGTAGCACATTTCCTTGGGTGTCCTGTTTTCCACACTTTCCCTCCCCACAAAGTCACACAGTCTCTCGTGGTCAGGGCTGGCCACCTTCTTACAGGGCCTCTTAACAATTTTAGATAAAGTTTCTCTCTGAATCTTGACCATATGGCATTGGGAAGGTCTCCTCAGCTCTACTATAACACAAGGTGGTGATGTTGTGCTGTCCCTGCCCCTTCCAGAGGTCTTCAGTCTTGGGGCTGCCTGTTCCTGCCATGTTCATTCTGGAGTCTGCAACTCCCAGGCCTTCTCTCGCCACCCTGGTAGCTTGTGGGTAATGAGCCAATCTACAACTGCCGCGACTGTGCAGCCAGCAGTACTGGGTTGGGCAGTGGTGGCAGTTCGCCTACAAAGCCTGGGTCATCAATTCTGGTCCACCTAGACAGCTTGCCCCTGGCCACCTACAGGCGGGCTGGGTCCTGTGTACTCCTGCGCACACTCTCCATGCTCTCTTCTCCATGTGCTCTCCTTCACAGATGGTTTCACTCACTCTCTGCTCTGTGTTCTGTCTCCAAATCCTGTCAGTGTCTGAGAGCTGATATATGGAGCTGCCTGCTACTCTGCTGCCATCTTGGATCTGTTGTCTTCCATTTTAAATGAGAGCCTTGTTGGGAAAGGTAGTTTTAGTTGGAATCCTTTGCTTTTCATTCCTTGAAATATTTCTTGCCATTCCTTTCTGGCTTGTGGTGTTTCTGTTGAGAAGTCAGTGATACCCTCATTGGAGCTCCCTTGTATGTTACTATTTGTGTCTCCCTTACTGCCTTTAAGATTCTCTTTGTCTTTAAATTTGCCATTTTAATTGTGATGTGTCTTAGAGTGGGCCTCTTTGGGTTCATCTTGATTGAGATCCTCCGTACTTCCTGGACTTGTATGACTTTTTTCTCATCAAGTTAGGGAAATTTTCTGTCGTAACAGGTTTTCTGTCCCTTGCTCCTCCTCTTCTCCTGATGTCCCTATGATATGGAGATTATTATGTTTCACATTGTCCTGCAGCTTCCGTAAGCCCTCTTTGTTCTTTTTGAGTCTTTTTTCCTTTTCTTGCTCTTTCTGGGAATTTTTTCCTACCTTGTCCTCCAGCTCACTTATTTGATCCTCTGCTTCATCTTGCCTGATTTTGATTCCTTCTCCTGTGTTCTTCAGTTCAGAAATTGTATTCTTCATTTCCTTGTGGTTCTTGATAGTTTCTGCATCCTTTTTCATGCTGATGTAGGTCACAGTAAGTTGCTTGTACCTTCCCTGGAATTACTTTAGTTCTCACTGAGCTCCATGAGCAACCTTATAACCATTATTTTTGGATCTCAGTGCCTGGTGATAGTTCGGTTGCCTCAGTTTCATTTAGTAGTCTTTCTGTGGATTCCTGGATAGACCAAGAAAAAGTACTTGAGAAAATTTAACATTTCTTCATGATAAAAACTATTACGTAACTAGGAATAAAAGGGAACTTTTTGCCTTGATCAAGCACTTCTATGAAAAAACCTATCCCAGCATCATACTTATTGGTGGAAGATTCAATGCTCTTTTCCTAAGATGAGAAGTTAGAGATACTCATTCTCATCAGTTTTATTCAATATCATAATGGAATTCCTAGCCACTGCAGTAAAGCAAGAAAAGGTAATATAAGGCTCACAGATTGAAAAGGAAGAAATAAAATGCTATTCTCAGATGACATAATTTTCTATGTAGAAAATCATAAGGAATCTACAGAAAGATTTCTAAAATGAATAATGGAGTTTAACAAGGTCACACAATAGAAGATCAGTAAACAATCATTTTTTTATGTACTAGCTGAACATGTGAACTAGAACATTTTTATAGTGTTATTTATAAATGCATCAAAACACAAGAACGACTTAGATATTAATCTGACAAAATATATGTGTGATCTGTATGCTGAAAACTATGAAACACTGATGAAAGAAATCAAAGAAGACCCAAAATAAATGGAGAGAGATAAACAGTGTCTGTGGAGGGGAAGACTCAATATAGGAAATAAATCAATTTTTTTTCCAAATACTGTTACAATCAAAATCCCAACAGGATTTTTTTGTATGTGTTGGCAGACTGTTTCCAAATTTAAATAGAAAGATAGGAGAACTAGAATAATCAAAACAATTTTTAAAAAAGCACAAAATTGGGAGTATTTATACCACCTAATTTCCAGCTTTAATATGAACTATGGTATTCAAGGTAATGTGGTACTGCTGAACAATAGACACGTAGTAGAGCCACACGTATGTGATCAATTTACTTTTGTCAAAGGTATAAAACAATTCATTGGAGAAAGGGAGGGAGACTCCCTTGGAACAGCCATAAGATGTTTTATTTCAATGGTTCGTTAGCCATTTTCCCTCCTTTTCTGTGGTAAGATGCTTTAGCTACTCCCTGCTCTCGGCCACTACAGACGACATCCTCAGCAAACTCCTTTGTGTGCATCCTTTTAAATCAGTCCCTTAGGCTTAATTCTCAGGCCATTTAACAACCCATTGTTTTCTTGAAAAGACTAAGTCAATACAGAGTGCTGCCACCCCTTACTGCATCTTTGCTAGAATTGAATGCTAAGTCTCCTCACCACTAAGATTTTACTACTTTAATAGTTATATAAATGGAACTACAGGATTACTTCAGTTTATATTTGGTTGCTAATAAAGATTAAGTTTTTTTCAAGGATTTTTTTCCCCTTATGCTGGTGGGGACTCTGTTCATAATCCTTGCTCTTTCATTTATTTGGTATTGATGGGTTTTAATATAAATTTAAAATGAGTGTTTTTATCTTGTATGTCCTTGTGGATATTGACATTCGTTTTTATGGGTATGATGTTGAATGGTATTTTGAAGAAATGATATAAATGTTTTTGTTTTCTAGCTGGCTTAGGTGAATTCCGAATTCGTGACCTGAATGATGAAATTAACAAACTACTAAGAGAGAAAGGACACTGGGAAATCCGGATAAAGGAGCTGGGTGGTCCTGATTATGTAGTAAGTAAACAGCAGCCCCAGTGGCTGTTAGGGGTGAGCTTTTGGGCAGGATGGGTAGGTCTTGTCTAGGAACCTGCAGCTCCCAGCCCATGCTTACCAGAGGGCAGGCACTCAAGAAATGAAAGAAGGCTTGAAAAAGTGCCTGTTGCAGATAGACAGGAAACCATGAAAAGAATAGGTCAGATAATGCTTAAAGGCTCCACAGCACAGGTCTCAGAGCAGATAGGGCGCCTGCATTTACCATTCAGATGTTCCTGAGTAAGTCACTTAATCTCTCTGGGCCTCACTCCTTGGGAATTAGAGTAACCATTACTGGATTTTTAGCTGAAGGAGCCTTGGAACACTCCATTCTTTCCTTTCTTTGGACTCTGAAAAATGCAGCACTCTTGAACAGTGGCTTTCAGGCTTTCAGGATCATGAGTCATTAAAAAAACATGCACACATGCACGCTATATTCACAACCCAGTAAACACAAAAATGTGCTGAAAAAATACTTAGTATGTGTTGATGCTCTTTGTTATTTTCTATTCTGTTCTATTTTGATTTTTAAAAAATTGATGATTGTGACCTGCTTAATTGATTTCATAACCCGCTACTGGTTTCAACTTTGAAAAATACTGTTCCCAGAGCTTGTGAAGAGATCTGCGTCAGGTCATTTGAACCAGTAGTATCTAATCAGTGGGCTATATATAATATGTTATGTAGGAAATACATGACAGTTTTTCTACATCATAGTCTTTTCACCTTTGTTAAGGTCTAACACAACCATAATTTGCACTTTAGTACCTGGCATATAAATGAAGCATTTCTTCTTCCCTTTGCAAAAGGAAAGGCACTCACATTTCTTGAGCATCTGTTGTGGCAATGCAGTAGGAACTTTCATTTAGCCTCTTTAGCAGGTCTGTGATGATGATTTTGTTTCCTTTCAGACTGCATTAAGTCATGCAGAAATTTATTAATCCTCATAAAGAACTTCAGAAGCATTACAGAATTAATATATAAGATATTCTTAAGTTCACTACCCAAAATCAACATGTTTTTATAGATTTCCTTTCAGAATTTTTTAATGCTTAAGAATTTTATTTTCATTTACTGTGTATAAACATAGTAAATTTATGCCCTGATGCATGTGGCTCAGTGGGTTGGGTGTTGTCCCACAAGCCAAAATGTTGCCAGTTCGATTCCTGGGCAAGGCACATGTCTGGGTTGAGGGCCAGGCCCCAGTTGGGGGCGTGGAAGAAGCAACTGATTGATATTCCTCTCGCACATCGATGTTCTCTTCTTCTTTTTCTCCCTCCCTTCCCCTTTCTCTAAAAATAAATAGAGTCTTTTTTTTTAAAAGGTGATACATTTAGAGTTTCAGTTTTATAAGATGGAACGACTTACGGTGAGGGATGGTGGTGATGATTATATGACCTTATGAATGGTATTTAATACCATTTTTATATACATATAAGAATGGTTAAGATGGTAAATTTTATGATATTTACCACACTCATATTTATTTATGAGTGTGGTATTTTACCACAATAAGAAAAAGTAATATGTTATCATCAAGTTTAGGAAAGTATAAAGAAATAGAACAACATTTAGTTATAATCCCATTACTTGTGCAGTAGTTGAATATTTCCTTCCATTGTTTTTCTATGGATGCCATAATTGAGATCATACTCCCTATATGTACACTTTTGGTTCTAGGTTTTGTTTCTTTTCAAAATTGTAATTTTGATGATATAAACAGTATATACTTTCATGCAAAAAATATAAAATAAAAAGTATATAAAAATTGTAAAATATAAAAACTTACACATATTATATGTATGATATAGGCTGTATTACATATTTTTCTACCATCCAGAAATAACTGCTATTAACATTTTCTAGATTTTTTTCAGTGCATATTATGTTTATTTTTACAGAAATTGGTTCATATTTAACTATGTGCTTTGTTCATGTGATAGCATATCAGGAGCAGTTTTTCATGTAAATAATTTTTATAATCATTTTAAAAAGCATTTTTGAGAAAGTTGTAGAAATAAACAGTAAATTCTTATATACCCTTTATACAAATTTACCAGTTTTCTAACATTTTTCTGTTTTAGCTTTATTATTTTCTTTCTTTTATTTATTGATTTTAGAGAGAGAGAGAAACATTGATTTGTTGTTTCACTTATTTTTACATTCATTGGTTGCTGCTTCTGTACACCCTGACCAGAGATTGAACCCATACCTTGGCAGATTGGGTTGATGCTCTAACCAACTGAGTTACCCAGCCAGGGCCAGCTTTATCATTTTCTTTGTGTACCTTGAGATTTCTTTTTCTGAAGCATTTGAAGCTTCAGTTTATATTTGATGCTACATGGTGCTCCTTTACCCCATAATACTTATGTGTGCATTTCCTAAGAAGAAGAATGTTATCTTATATAACCATGGTAGAGTTACCATGTCTGATTCACTGATTTTCCCAATAATGTCCTATATAACATTTCCCCCTCTAGTATGGGACGTAGTCCAGGGTCACATAATGCATGTAGTTGCTGACATCATCTAATGGATTGAACTGCATCTTCTGGATACTCCATTTGTCGTCTGCTTGTCATTTAGGTGATTTGCAATTTTTTGTAATCTTTGTCACTTAAGATCATATCATAAACATTTTTCAAAGTCAATATAAGAACCATGATTGTTTAAAAAAAGAATAAAAGAGCCATTATTGTTAAGGTATAGTATGTATTCCATCCATGAACTTGCTATAATTTACTTAAATCATCCTCCTACTTTTAGATATTTAGGTTGATTTTTAAGGGATAAAAGGGTACGTAAATATTTTTCTGTGTGCATAAATATTTTCCATGTTAAACATCTTAAAATATGTTTACAAACATGAAAATATGTTTACAAACATGAAAATAGTGTTTACAAATATGAAAACTATTTTTCATGAAGAGGATCAGATTCATATTCTCTTTTTCCTTCCCAATAAGAAAGTTGGCCCTAAGATGTTGGATCACGAAGGAAAAGAAGTCCCAGGAAATCGTGGTTACAAATACTTTGGAGCAGCAAAAGATTTGCCTGGTGTAAGAGAGTTATTTGAAAAAGAACGTAAGTGATTAATGTTTGAGTAGGTTTTAGCCTCAATTTTTTTTAAACATTACAAATAGGCTTTTATTTGTCACCATTAAATGCCTGAATTTTAAACAGATACTTGGACTGGGGGATCATTTCCAGCAGCTTGTTCAACTTTAGTACCTGTCTTGTTTCCCGGAGCTTTTCCAAATTTACTACACCTTCGCCATGAAGCTCCATGAGTTTTCCCAATTCAAACTTGGGCCGCTTCAGCTTTTTTACTTTTTTTAAAAAGACATATGGAGTGGATCAATAGATTGTCAAGCTTTTCTCTGTCTTTCCAGTGCTATGTGGAATCAATTTATTGACCACTTCTTTCAAGTCATTTGTCTGCACCTCTTGGGTCAAGATTTCCTTCATCTTTTAGATATGGCAGACTGTTGATGCTGAGCGTAAGAGGTCTTCCGAACCTGATTACTGTCTTTTAATAAAACAAGCACAGAATAGATGAAGCAAATAACCGTTGGTAGTCTTGATGGCAACATGAGCCTCAGTCACTGGCTACTGTTTTTTGAACACGGAACACATTTTGTCATGGGTTAGGATCCATGCTATGAAGATTAATCAGGCAATTTTTGACCTGAACATCCTCAGTAATTAGCTTGAATTTTCTAAATGCAGTTTCATCATTCTCACATCAGCTAGGTTCACTTCAAAAACATGACCCTTGAGACCATCAAGTGCAATTTTAGTTCCTTGAGTTTTTGTGACTAGTGTTTTTCTACTATTTATTATATTGAACATAGCTGGTGCTTTCACCATCATGCTAGTCTTTCTTAGAAAATGGAACAACCACTTTCTTCTTGGTGCCCTTTTTGCTGCTTTTTGTAAGGTGTTTGTTCTTACCGACCACCCTTCAAGAACTTCTGCTTTGCATTTACAACTTGGCTAACTGTGGCACAAGAGGCTGAACTTTTGACCTGTCTTGGCTTTTGACATGCCTTCCTCACTAAGCTTAATCATTTCTAGCTTTTGCTTTAAAGTGAGAGACATGCAACTCTTTCTTTCACTTGAACATTTAGAGGCCATTGTAGGGTTGTTAATTGGCCTAATTTCAATATTGTTTTGTCTCGGGGATTAGGGAGGCCCAGAGAGAGGGATAGAGCCAGGGAATGGCTGGTTGGTGAAAGAGTCACAACATACATGCATTTACCTATTAATTTCATCACATTTAATGGATGGGTGTGGCTTGTGGCACCCCAAAACAATTACAATAGTAACATCAAAGATCACTGAGCACCGTAACAAATATAAGAATGAAAAAGTTTTAAATAGTTAGAGAATTACCAAAATATCACAAAGACACAAAGTGAACTAATGCTCTTGCAAAAGAGGCACCAGTTGCCGTGGCTTGGTGGTTCAGCTGGTTGGAGCATTGTCATGTACAGCAAAAGGTTGTGGGTTTGATCCCTGGTCAGGGTGTGAATGGGAGGCAACCGATTGATGTTTCTCTTTCTCTTCCTTCCTCTCTCTAAAATCAATAAACATATCCTTGGATGAGGATTTTTTTTCTAAAGTGACATTGATAGACTTGCTTGAACAGGGTTGCCAGAAACCTTCAATTTTTTTAAAAAAGGCAGTATTTGCAAAGCTCAGTGAAGGGCAATGAAATGTGTTATGCCTGTATTTTAACTTTGTCTTTTAGAAAAATAGTCTAAACACTTCATAGAAAAAGTGTGAAATGCAGAGAAGAATGATACTAGTGTTCTCAGGAATGTTGGCATTCTATTTCCTTCCACTCAGATTTTGTAATTGTTTAAAATTTTAATTCTGCCTTTACTAAACTCCGCTTATTTTTAAATTCATTATGCCAAAATTACTTTTGTATATGTCATTAACATCGCTTAAAACAAGTTCAGAGTTTAAATATCACACCATTCATTATAAAAGCAATATAATTTTATTCAGAGAAGTTACAAAACACCGAAAATCAGGAAAAAAGGCCTGCATTTTTACTAGTTGTAGATGATAATTATTAACATGTCAGGGCACTTCCAGTTTTTTAAGAGTTGCAGTGGAGGAAGTGGCTCTTAAATTTAGGTTATGTTAAATATGTTACCTTTTTTGCATTTACATTTTTATAAATTAATTTTTATTTATTCCAGTCATAGATCTTTTTTAAACAAGAAAATGCCTAAGTTAGTCTTGATGAGTATAATTTAAGAGGCAGTACAGTACTCTTGACCCCTTTTTCCCCTAATCGTAGTGCCTCTGCCAGAGATAAAGGTTAACCATTATTATCTATTTGGTATGTGCTCTTCCAGGCCTTTTTACATGCACTTCCATGGTTATTTCTTCAGTTAAATTTCATCAGTAAAAGTGGCAGGTGGTTCAGCTACAATTTACTTTAGGCAGGAAAGCCTAAATTTATTGGCTTACATCACTGAAAAGCCCATGGGTGGTTTGCCTTCAGGAATGGCTGATTCCAGGTATCAGTTGCAGTGCTCTGAGCCAGCCAGGTTTCAGCCCTGTACTCTGTCCTGGATGCATCCAGCATAGTGACTACCACTCATGACATCTGGCCTGAGAGTGGTGGACGGGTGGACAGAGTTGCCACTACCAACATTAGGGCGACAGATGGTGGCCTGCCAAAACAGAGTGGCTTGATGCATTCCCACAGTTCTACTTAGAACTCCTTATTAATGGGTGAGAAGGATTAAAGAATATCATGATATGGATTAATCATACTTTATGAAACCATTCCTGCTTTGGTAGACATCTAGTTATTTCCAGATTTTCATAATTATAATATTTTTGCTGAATTGATGGTTGAAAATATACTGCCTTTATTTTATCTTTTATTACTGATAAAATTGATCATTTAATTCAATTACTAATGGAAAATTTTATAGTTACAAATTTTTTCTTCTTAAATTATCAACCTTTATTCTTTTTTTTACAAAAGATTTTAATTTTAGAGAAGGGGGGAGGGAGAAAGAGAGGGAGAGAAACATCCATCAGTTGCCTCTCACACATCCTTAACTGGGGAGCTGGCCCACATCCCAGGCATGTGCACTGACCAGGAATCAAACTGGTGACCTTTTGGTTTGCGGGATGTTGCCCAACCCACTGAGCCACACCAGTTGGCATCAGCTTTTATTCCTTTAACTTATGTGTTGGGTTGTCATTTCTCTTTTGATTTTCAAGAATTACTTAAATATTCTGAATATTTATATATTTATATATTTTCTTGTGGTGTAAGAGCCTGTGTAGGAAATAGTGCCAGGTATCCTCAGTCACCAAACAGCATTTTGCCAAAAGCATATACCATCTTGGCATACTTTCCCAACATAAGGAATATTGAAATTCTCTGTAAAATAATAAGTTCCACAAATCAAAGGAAGCTGGATACAAAAGTGGTTAAAGAAAAGTACTTTAAAACATTTCCATTGGCTTTCTCAAGTCTCTGGTTTATCCTTTTGAATTTTGTGCTTTTTCTTGTGAGGTATATAAATTGAAACAAAACCCCACAGCAAACAGAACAAGTAATAAAGGGCCTGGTGAACTCTCAGGAATCTCTGTGTTACAATCTAGAACTTTGTGTAATTGTTCAACATATAGTTCCAGGCATTTTTAAATGGTTCTTGCAGAGGATTCTCAGGTAAGTGAATCAACATACTCCATAGCCAAGGACACCGAACTAAAGATGCTGACACTTTCATTTGTTGCCATTTTTCAAATCTCTGTACATGGCTTTATCATACCACAAGCCTCTCTCGTAGTCCCTTCCCCTGGGCGCTCACATGGAGTCTGTCGCCTATTTCGTATTTTCGTGAGCGCATAAACAATACATTTTGCAGGGAGAAGGCTTGAGTGTGATAATGATGGGAAATTCAGCTAAGTTGGTGCTCTTTCTTTTAGCCCTTCCTCCTCCAAGAAAAACACGAGCTGAACTCATGAAGGCAATAGATTTTGAATACTACGGTTACCTCGATGAAGACGATGGTGTTATTGTGCCTTTGGAACAGGAATATGAAAAGAAATGTAGGTCTACAGGCATTTCATTTTATTATAGGTGGAATCTGGTTTCTTTGTTTGTTTTGAAACTGGCTTTTTAAATAGTGCTTTATGTCAGAAAGGAGTTTTCTTTTTTGCTAATATTCTTCAGAGGAAGTGATCTGCTAGTGACCTACCCCCTAGTAATTGTGAGGCAATTTAACATGATGTTGGACCAGAAGGAGCATGTTGGGGAAGCTACAGAGTGACATATGACCTGGTCCCTGTCCACCAGGGTTTACTATCTAGATTCCTTCCCAGACTGCCCTTTCTTGACATCATGAGATAGTGCCCACTTAAGGAGATTTAGGCCAGCTTTAAACACAGCTAACAGTTTATCAGTGTAGAGCAGGATGGGTCTCTTTTTTTTTTTTTTTGAGAGCTTCCTCCATGCCAAGAACTATGCTGCACCTTTTACAGACATTCTTTTGAAGTCTCACAACAGCTCTTTGAAGAATAAGTTAGTGCTACTTCCCATGAAGTGCATTGAACTAGGGCTTTGGAAGCAGGTGGTCAAGAGTTGGAGCTCTTTGCCAGCATGATGTATGATTGCATCTCCATTTTCATGTGAGCATGTCAAGAAGCCACCCAGATTGGTGAACTGGGGAGGATCTGAGGATGTTCTCTCAAAATCTGCTTTGTAGTGACTTGAAGCCAAAGCTGTTGTGAGACTAGACTGCCACTCATATCTGATTCCCTCTCACCAGGGCGGAATGAACGATGTCCCTTTCCTGAGGGAACATCTTGGCCTTGCTCTGCATAGTTTTTAAAGCTGATTCAGAGACCAGAGTAACACCTACTGTCCCTTGTCTTCAGTCAGAGCTGAATTAGTGGAAAAGTGGAAAGCAGAGAGAGAGGCTCGACTAGCAAGAGGAGAAAAGGAAGAGGAGGAAGAAGAGGAGGAAGAGATTAACATCTATGCCGTCACTGAGGAGGAGGTACTGGTGGGCACTGAGGGTCTCCCTGGTGCTCACTAACTTCTGCTCTGAGTTGTGAAGCCTGGACCTCTTGGGAGGGGCCCCTGTGCAGGTCAAGTTCAGCCACTGCTTTTTGCCTTGCTTGGGACCTCCTGGTAGGAACTACAAAGTGATCTGCTGTTGGTTTCTGCTTGGAGGCATTTGGGAGAGGCTACACTGCAAACTGAGTCCAGCTGCCACTAGTGTCAGGCTTTGCACTCTTTGGTGGGCAGTGTGATGTGAGCTGAGGCCAGCCACCAGTTATGCTAGGCTAATGGCCACTTATTTGAAGCTATGTTTCAAGCTGCAGCTGACTACTGTTTATGCTAGCCTTGGGGGCCACCTGATGGAAGTTACATTGCAAGTTGTTGAGATTGCCTATGTCCAGCCTGGGGCTGCTTACAGGTACAGAGCATGCTGAGGCCAGCTTCTGCTTGTTTGGGGTTTGTGCACCTTTCAGAGATTTTAGGGAAGTCTGCTTATGTGGAGCAGCTGCTAGAAGAAGCTCAAGCCCAGTGATTGAGTTGAGTGGGGTGTGGTCTCATGGAATCATCAGGGTAGGGAGAACCTTGTTAGCCAAGTTAATGGAAATCTCAGATTTGGTCCCCACATGGCTCTGCGGGCTGGATGGGAGGAGGGCCCAAAAAGGGAACAATGCTGCCTGCCAATACTTCTGTCCTGACGCCCGCCCCACTAGCAGTTGTCCTGACTCTTGTTAATTTAGTTTCTCAACGTATGTATCTGGCACTTTTCAAGCTGCTGCCCCAGTGCTGGAACCCAGAGCAAATGAGTTTGTGAGTCTGTGTGGCCAGCAGCCCTGTTTCATTTGGAAGCATTCTCTGCTTGTTGCCACAGCCAGATGTTATGGGGATTCCTATTTCTGGCACTGGTGCTTTGGACTGGGGATCCTGGTGTGGGATTGGGGCCCCTTGTTCCTCAGAAGGGACTTCTGCAGAGGAGATACCCCTCCTGATTCTAAATTTCCATACTGTGAGTGTGAGACCTGTCTATTTAGTGTCTCTGCCTTTCCTACCAGTCTCCACATGGCTTCTGTATAGCTTAGTTAATGGAATTCCTGTTCAGCTGCTCTTCAGATGGTTCTCATGACAGTATTTTTATAATTTAGTTATAAGTTTGATGTGATTGTGGGAGGAGGACAGCACAGTGTTTACCTGCTCCACCACTTGTTTTTTTTAATCTTCACCCGAGGACATTTTTTCATTGCTTTTAGAGAGTGAGGAAGAGAGAGACAGTTTAGAATTAGGGGAAAGGAGGGAGAGAAACATTGATGTGAGAGAGAAACATTGGTTGCCTTTTGTACATGCCCCAACTGGGAACTGAACCCACAACCCAGGCATATGCCCTGACTAGGAATTGAACCCATGACCTTTCGGTCTGTGTGATGATGCTCTAAACAAGTGATCCACACCAGCCCCACTCTACCATGTTGACTGGACTTTAAATTTAGTTTTTAAAATATAGGTAATATAGTCACAAGTCAAGAACCAAACAGTATATAAAGATAGTTAACAAAGATTTTCTTTTGCAGCTGTGCCCTCCATCTACCTAGTTCTTACTGCTATTTTTCTACTTAATGATATCTTGGTTGTATTTCTGTATAAGTGCAGAACTTCCTCATTCCTTTTTTCTCCCTTTTAAACAGTTGCAGGGTAGCATATTTTATAGCACTAGCAACATTTATTTCATGTTTTCCTGTTCATGGACTTTTGGTTGTTCTCTGTTTCTAGTCTGATGAAGAAGGCAGCCAGGAGAATGGAGGGGAAGATGGACAGCAGAAGTTCATCGCTCATGTCCCTGTGCCATCACAGCAAGAGGTAAGGTAGAGGCTGTGAGCTGCCCTTGCTGGTAGAGCTTCCCAAGTGCCAGGGACCTCACTTCTAAAGAAGACTCCATTGAGTACTCTGTATTTTTTTTCCTATCTGTCCATTTGGTCAGCTCTGATTCCTGACTACATGACAGTGGTCAGTGTGCTCATAATAGGGTGTGGAATCTAGAGAAGGCAGGATTTCATTTGCTTTAGAGAAAACTGATGAACATTCTGTTGTTCACATGCTTGCAGTGGGAGAGAAGGGGACCTTCACAACCACTCTGGGTATTGAGCTGCTCAATGACCACCCTCAGAGAGACTCCATCTTGACTGGGTTCTGGCAGGGAAGAGAGGACCTTATTGAGGAGTGTTGCATGAACCCTTTACTCTTGTATTCACAGATTGAGGAGGCACTTGTACAGAGGAAGAAGATGGAACTCCTTCAGAAGTATGCAAGTGAGACTCTGCAGGCCCAGAGCGAAGAGGCCAAAAGACTCATGGGATATTAGGGCTGAGTGAGGGCTCTCCTTGGGGTCTGGAAATCTGTTGGGAGTTCTTCAGCCCCACTGGACCTTGCATTAACCCACAGGGCTCTGCTGTCCTGGGACTGTAGACTGACAGGCTAGTGCTGTGAGGCTTCTTGCTACTTACTGTTCACTTTTCTCTTAACTTTTCTTACTTCATCTGCTGATCTCACATGAGGAGTCTGCCCCATACTTCCCTGGCAGACTTTCTACAAGCTAATAGTTCAGTTGTCACTGTTGTACAATATTTTGCTACTTGATGAACCCACTCATTTTTATCTTGAATGTGTAAAACAGGCTGCTGAGTGCCTGTGTTTTATTTAGCCTTCTACTGTGATTTGGTGGGGAGGGTAATCAATTAATGACTACCATTAAAAGAATACAGTTTTTCCTAAAAAGATGTTATTTGTAACTCCTTTTGAAAAAAATGAAGTGTGTTAAACCTGAGCTCATATCTCGCATGTCAATTGCCAGCCGGAGCTGTACCTTTTGGGCCTGGCACAGTTCTCTGTGGCTCATTCAGCCTGATACCCTCCTGCCCAGGTAGCAGGAAATTGAGTTTACTTCTGTTTTATGACTGGCTCTGTAGAGAGCTATTTTTATTAAAGATTTTTATATGAGAGGGAAACCTCCATATCTAGTTTGTTGTTTCCTGGGCTCCGTGCACTGAGGTGGTGATTGCATTAGAACGTGAGATTCGGAATCACTGCAGGGAGGAGGGTCCCAAAACACACAGCCCAGGTGTGGGAGGGCCGGGACTAGTTCTGGGCTCTACCGGGAGCTGACGTCGGTGGGCAGAGCCATCCTTACTGTGTCCCTAGGCAGCCTGTGTGAAAGTACACCTAGGATGTCCAGGAAGCACCAGTTGGATCCAAACCTGCCATCCAAACTGCGTGTTTTCCTTCCTCTGAGAAGAACTGACAGCAGAGGCTGCAGCCTCTAGGGCAGTGGCAGGCAGCCTCCCCATTCGCAGAGGGGTCAAAGTGTTAGGACCAGGAAGTTGTCCTTTGGGTCAGGGCCCTGTCTGTAGCTGTTTGTGAACAGGAAGTCCTGGAGCTTGAGGAAGCCCATTACACAGCAGGGAGTTTGGTTCTTCGGGTGGTCTGCCTGCCTGGAAACAACACATTCTGGAAATGGCAGTCATGTGCCACTAGGGGCGGCAAGTGTCGGGGAGGATGCAGTCAGGCCACGGGTGATTCTGGGGGCCCTCTTGAAGGAGACCGAGGGCAGCAGGGAGCTGTGCAGGGGTGTGAGCAAGGGGGTGGCCTGGTCAGTGTGTGACCTGCAGTCAGGTGTGGACACTGGAGGCATGAGTCAGGTCAGGCAGAGGCTGGGCAGAGGCTGGGTGTGGTGGGGAGTGGCCGTGTGGGGAAGGTGACAGAGGAGACCTGTGAGGATGAGGAGAGGGGACATAACTGGGCAGGGGCGACCTGCGTCCTGGCTCCTCTGAAGGAAGTTCTGGTGGCCCCCCTAACCCCTAACCAAGCTCCTGGGCAAATGCGCGCAGGGTGCTGAGAGGGGTTGAGATTGGAGCTCTGGGAGTGGAGGCCCTGGCAGCAGAGCAGGTCAGAGCTCTGGGACCCAGCACCAAGGGCGGGCTCAGGAGCAAATTCAGTGGGGGCTGTGAGCAAGTCCCTCTCGGTCCTTGGCCTCAGTTTCCTTGCTTTAAAGTCCAGGACTGGACCTGTACGTTTTCCCCGGGGTCTGCGTAGTCCCTAGTCCCTGGGCAGAGAAAAAGAAGGTCCTCTGGGAGAGCATGGCCCACATCAGAGCCTCTGGGATGGGTATGGAGTGCCCAGCTCAGATGGACCCCGTTACGGGTTTTTCATTCAAGGGGCACACGTGGGTTTGGGGCTGCCTTGCATTCGGTGAGAGCAGGAAATGCAGACAACAGGTATTTCTTCTCCCTGGGAAAGGTGGTTGGCAAGTGTCTAGAGTGTGACCCATCTGGAATTTTCCAGGGCTCCGGGCCTTCCTCGTTCAGTCAATGGAATTCAGCAGCCATCTGAACCATCTGGGACAGAGACAGAGACAGGAGCCCCCCACCCTGCTCTGGCCCTACAGTTTACAAAGTGCCTCCCCACCCTAGATATCATCATGGCTTCCCTGGGTGCACACAGAACAGGAATTAAGTGCCCCGAATCTGAGGAAACAGGCCCTTGTTTTAGAAGCACCTGACCCAGCATCCTACTGTTTTCCCTGACAGAGATGGTATCCAACTCCAGGCCTCTTCCTGTCCTACAGGTGCTGGCTACTTTGTCAGACACCCCAGAAATGAGATCTGTATAGGGCTCCCACCCCAGGTGAGGAACAGCAGGGAAATCTGAATTAGCTTGGTGCTGTGATCACTGGTGGGATGTGATTACCGTGGCCCAGCTCATTGTTCAGAGGTTTCAGAACAAATGTCAGGATTCTTTATTTGACCAAACCTATTTCATGGTTTGCATTAGCTTTAGTTCTGCACAGTTTTCAAAGTGGCAACTTTCCATATACACATATCCACAGACTTCTCTTTCCTCCGCTCACCTCCCTGGTCCACCTGTGAGTCTAAAATATCAACCTTTCTCTTGTTTTAATATTTGTCATACTAACCCCACCCAGAAGTTAGACTGCCCTCCTTCCTCTGCCCCTCTACCCTCTGCACTCTGCCCCCTGACTTCACATGCTCCTGCTTTGGGCAATTATAAACAAGGAAGAGATTAAAACCGTTTTCTCCACACCCTGGGCTACTGCTAGAACGACAGGCCTGCTATAGAGAAGCAAAGGGCTGATTTTGTGGCCTGACCCACTGCTTTACCCTAACTCCATCTTTCTTCTTCCTTCCAAAGCCCTAAGAGAGGATGGGGTGAGGTTCTCACCCCTGCTCACATCAATGCAGCAGGATCCCACCTGGTGTCCTCAGGCCTTTTCTAACTCCTAGCAGGCACTGTTTAGCTAGTGAGGCAGGCCCACACGCACTGGGAGACTGGAATTGGTGGCCCTCTGGCATTTTCACATCTGTTCCCCTCCTGCTTTAACCTGCCCCTACCTCCCTCTCCTTCCGAAAAAAGGAAACAATAGAGGTAATGTTTTCTGTAGGGCTGACCCTGTACTACAAAGTTCCTGCACTGGGTACTTTTCTGAAAGTCACCAATCCTGGGTTTGCACCTCACTAAGATGAGTGGGGAGGGCAGATAGATCTGCCTTCGGATCTCTGGCTGGGCCATGTAGGATTCTGTAAAAACTGGTGTGGAGAGGGACAAATTTTTCTCTACTCTCAAGAGTCTTCTGGGTGGTCTAATAAATAGATATGAGACAGCTTAGCAAAAGAAAATGACCAAATTTAATACATATGTATGGAAACCTTGCGTACAGAAGAAAGGGACCACATATGCAGGAGAGCTTCAGAGATAGAAAGGGAACATGGATATATAAGGCATCCTGAGCTAAGGATGAGGTAGGGTGCCTTGGGAGCTTCAATGGGTCATTGCAGGATGATAAGAACAGATATTTAGTAAACAGAAGTTTACCCTGATCTGTGGACAGATTGAAAGAAACTGTGCCTGATGATCTCTTGTTATGGGCAGGGCCTCTGTTTCAAGTTTTAGGTAGTTAAGGGGAGGGGCAGAAGTTTCTTCTGAGCTTGATACTAAAATTATTTTTAGCTCAAAGTAATTGCATACCACTTAGTCACATGTTGGAGTGGCTCATTCTGAACCCCCTACACTGGCAAATTTGAAGGGTTGGGAAATAGGGAGATGGGCTTCAAGGCAGGGGACCAGATGATTTTGGGGCCAGATGAAATAAGGCAGTCCTGGAATGTGTTGGTGTTTTGGAGATTCTGTGCTTGTCACTGAAGTCTTAGCATGGGGATAGCCAGGTAAGAGCAATTCTAGCAGGCCCATTTGGTGGGAGGGTATGGGGCCAACTAGAAGCTGAGAGGTGAGGAAGCCAGGGCAGTCCTCTGGGGAGTGGTGGTGGTGGTGGAGGAGCACTGCTCTAGTTCTGAGGGTAGCAGTGGGGGATGTGAGTGCACCTTGGAATTGGGAGAGGTTTAAGTATGGTAGCTGAGAGCCAGAGAGCCCCATATTTTCAGTCATATCAAGTGTGAGATGGGTTCCATCAACAGAAACATGGAAAGCTGGTATTCAGTTGGCTCGTGTTTATGACGTTTTGGATTTCTGGGAGGGAAGAGAGTGGGATTGCTGCAGTTTCGTTGACCACCAGGTGAGCTGAGGACTGCCTGGGAGGGAAACTTCGCAGACTTCAGCCAACCCCAGACCCCAGACCTTAGCACAGGGCATCTACGCCTACAACTGCTATGGCATATTGCTTTCTTGCTGCTTTTAATTATCTAATATTAAAATATGAATCAAGCACTCATATATTAAGAATATAGATATTATGTTTGGTGTCTGGTCTTCTTCATGGTGTTTTTCACCTTATTTCTAATTGGGGACACATCAGCACTGGTCTGGGCACTGCCAAATTTAAAAAATGTGGATGCTGTTGTTAGAGGCTATAATAATAGTGACTGTAGAAATAAAAAGGTGAGAAAATAGAGGGAAGGAAAGGAGGGTGGGAGAAAGGAAAGAAGAGAAAGATGGCATTTGTCTCTAACCACTTGGAATTGTGATCAACAGAACATTGGGGTTACAGCACATGCTACAGATGATACAGCTAGGATAGTGCCACCTGTGTGGCAGTAGCACAAACAATTTAAATTCAATCAGCCTACCAGTGGCCATTAGCTTTAAGAATGTTAAATTCTCAATACATTACTTAAAAATTGAAATGTGTGTTATTTCAAATTTTGGGCATTAAGTGAGACATCACAAATGTTTTTTAATTGTTCTATTTTAAACATGCAGTATTCAATTTCAGATAAAATGCACTGTGCCATTCAGGAATTTACTACTAAAAGACAGGAAATGTAGGTTTTTGTTTTTTTTTTAACTGTTTTATTGAGGTATAATTTGCATACCATAAAATTCACCTATTATAAATGTACAATTTAAAGATTTTGATAAATTTCCTGAGTCATACAACACTCATGACAGTCCAGTTTTACAGTGTTTCCATCATCCCACAAATACAAATGGTGGCCGGGCTCTCAGGCAAAACCCATGCCAAGACCAACATGCACCATGCCATCCCAAACTAATTCCATGCAAGGCCAATGTAAAGGCCAGTTTCCTCTTTCCTTTCCTCATGACTCGAATTGGTGATGGCCTTCTAGCTCCTGGACTCATTTTTCCCTTCCCCCTGTCTACCTTGTGCTTTGGATAGCCACTCTGAGCTGGAGGCAGATGTTGTTTTCTGGGAATCTGGGCTTTGACATGCCCCACCTTCCCAGAACAAACCCCATCCATCCCTTCTGCTACTCCTTTTGAGTGGAGGCTATTTCCTGTTGTTCTGGCTGTCAGCTTTGATATACCAAAGCTGTACTCCCAGAATTGCTTTTCCATTGCACTTTTGGGTTGCCTGTCTAGTACTGTTAGATATTTCCCATAGCAGTGGACTTCAAACTCTTCCAGAACAAATAACTCTTCCACCGTTACCATACATGCGTCTACCTTTGCCTCCTCCAGTCTCTTCCCCACTTGGCCAGTAAAACTGGTGAGAGTACTGGTCCTGGTAGATTTGCTCTCTATGGTCTCCTTAAACAAGAGGAGCCCCTCTTCCCTTTTCTACTGAGAAGGGTATGGGATTCTTGTCTGCTTTGTTCGTTGATGTATTCCAAAGACCCTAGAACAATACCTGACCCACTGTTTGTTTAATGCTCACAGCAGGCATTAAACAAACAATGAATTAGAATTGGAGTGCTGTAGCCCCCTTGTTAAGGGTGCTGTGTGAGGAAGGCGGGAGTGTTCTCAATTTCCTTCCATTCATAGCGGGAAAGGCCCTTGGGAAATAGGTTCTATTTGATCTATTTTATGCTTCTTACAGATGTTAGAATATCATTTCTCTGAGGATTCCTGGTTCACTGTGCCATCTTGGGAGTCGGTCTGTCTTGCAGAACTGCCCACAAACCTTGCTTATTCCTCTGCTCTGGCCAATCTTTGATGCTTTTCAGCTGGGTTAGTTACCCCAACTGGACCCACACCACCAACTGAGCCAGCTTATTTTGAGATACCTGAGCAGCTGCTTCAACTGCTAGACTCCCTTTCGGGGTTGTGATCTCCCAACTCCTCTTTTTGGCTTAGCTTTCCACCAAATGGGGCTCCCTAATTCTCCTCTCCACAGAGTCCTAGGTCATGTTGAGCCACAGCTTTCAGGTGCCTCTCCACAAAGATTCTGCCTTCTCCCCAGTTTTGAGGACAGCTTAATTTCTGGCCTCACTATAAACTTCTTTTTTCCTTGTAGTGTGCTGTCAGGCCTTTACCTCCTTTGTGTGAGAAAATGTCTATCACATCCCGTTAGAGGGACTCGGCATCATTGGCCCCCTTCGTGTGAGCACTAAGGTGAAACTGCTGTGGTCGTTCTCTTCTCCAATGATCCACTCTAGAGGAGGACGTTCTGGGTCCAACTGCTGGGTTAACAGGCTCCCAGGCCTGCCGGCTCAGAGACCCCACCATTCCCACAAACCTGCTTCGCACTGTGGGTCTGGAAGAGCAGCAAGTAGGCGAGCCCAGGCAGGCTGACCGTGCCTGGGGAAGAGGGAGGCAATGCAGGAGGCGAGGGACACACCTGGCGGGGTCTGGACTGGAGAACAGCTTAGTTGATGAAGGGTCTGAGGTGGGCAGTGGTTTTGGGGTGGTGCAAAGGGCGGGATAAATAAGTGGAGGGGGCGTGGCGAGGGCTGGGGGCGGTGCTGAGAGTGGAATTGGGCGGTGGAGATGCTGTGGGCGGACTTAGGGCGGACCTGAGGGTTGGACTGGCCGGGCGGAGAACTGAAGGCCAGCAGCTAGATTTGCAGAGGGCTGGACTAGGGGCGTCGGGGCGGGGCCGAGGCCGCGGGACTCGGGCTGGCCAGGAAGGGGCGGAAGGCCGGCTGGGATTGGACCGCGGCTGGGGATCTGTGGTGCCCCTGCTTCAGGTGTTCCGGAGGCTCCACGTCGCCTGGCGCCTGCGGCTTCTGTGAGCCCAGGCGGTCCCCAGCGTCCGGACCCGGCCTGCAGCTCCCGCGAGGACATGGCGGGGCCGGGCCCGGGGGACCCAGACGAGCAATACGATTTCCTGTTTAAGCTGGTGCTAGTGGGCGACGCGAGCGTGGGCAAGACGTGCGTGGTGCAGCGCTTCAAGACCGGCGCTTTCTCGGAGCGCCAGAGCAGCACCATCGGCGTCGACTTTACCATGAAGACGGTGGAGATCCAGGGCAAGCGGGTCAAGGTGGGAGGCCCGGCCTGGGGTCCCCGGGCCGGGGTGGCCTGCGCTCTTTGGCCCCTGCGCACCCCAGGCTCGGACGTGCACTAGGGGCGGCCAGGGCCCCTGGAAGGTTCTCCCTCAGCGGGGGCGGGGATTGTTCTGTTCCCTTAGTAGCTAGAGTCCAGGATTATTCTGAGGTGTCTGTCAAATCCCTTTTGCTTTCCCTTTCCCTTTCTCCTTTTGGACAAAGCCTGGGCCTTGGGGTCTGAGCCAGGTTCAGTCCGCAAAGCGACGGCCTTTGGTGTCTGTGTGTGTTTGTGTGCGCGCTTTGGGGGTGGTGAGGAGGAGGAGGCTCTGCCGTTGCGAGCTCACACCCTTTACTTTGCTCCCAGATAAGAGGAAAGCAGCCGAGCGCCTCAGAGTGCCGGGGACAGATGGACGCCTGGCTGGCCAGACCCTTCCCCGCCGCGATTGAAGCCCCAAGCTCGACCCTTAGGTGGGGAACCCAGCCAGCAAACTACACCCGCCCCTCGACGAGGAGGGATCAGGAAGTAGTTGCTTCTAGAACCGGAGGGCCCAAACTTTTTGTCAGAATTTCCGGCTTGGCTACGCCTCTCTTCAGTCTCTTTGTGGACCTGGTGGTGGAACTTTTACTAAGGCCCGCGCTGGGTCCCCTCCCCCAGCTGGAGTTCGGTAGAAACTGAAAATTTCACGGATACCGGGGAGGTAGGGGAGAGAACCAGTCTTTGGCAGTGGCTGCGAATAGAAACGGCAGGATGTAGTTGCCACAGTGTTCTAGCAATGGTTTGATAAATAATATTTGTGATTAATGAATTAGAATTTCTTAACCTGGATGTCAGCCCTCTAACAGAGACTAACACCAGCACACAACATTGTTTTTTTTTGTTCAGAAGCTTAACTGTATTGTACAGAAATCCTTTTCGTTTTTTCATGGTTTTGAGTTCACTGGATCTCCAGGGCAACTCTTAAGAGCACTGGGCAGGGGCAGTACAAGGCAAGTGTTGTCTCTCTGTTTTCAATAAGTTGAGCCAGGGCGATTGGAGTTGTTGAGCCCTGATGCTGTGGGGCTTTGCCTCCCTGGCCTGCTCTAGCCTGCTCATAGTTGCCTTTGGCTGGGATACTTAGCTCTTTGTTCCTGCAAAAGTTGGATAATTTCTGTGTTGCCATCCTCCTGCTCCTTCATGAGCAGAAAGTAAGCCAATGGTCTTTACATGGCCACAGTGCATCAAGAGTAGATGAGACGGTGAAAGCAGAAACCACCTACCTGAAGGGTTTTTTTTTTAAATAGTTTTTTGGGTTTCTGTGTGTTTTTGGTCTCCTTAGGATAAGGAAAAAAAAAAAGAGCAAGGCGTGGCAAGCAGCACTGAGTCATTATTTGGGACCACCCTTTTTAGAACACATTGCCAAGGAAGGGTTGTGGGATGGGTGGAATACATCCATGGGTGAATTTGTGCTTTGTGATGATGTCAGAAGCCACAGGGAAAGTGGAATGTAAAAATATAGGCATAATCAGCAAGTGGCATTCTTGCAAGCTGTCAGCCTGCTCCCACTCCAGTGTTTGTCGTGGCCCATTCTGACAGTGGTCAGGGAAGGGGCAGGGTGTTTCTGTTTACTTGGTGAGATAACAACCTGTGCCCCTTTGAAGCCCAGGGTGTACTATGTACCCAAGGATAGGTTATGCAATACAGAGCAGGCAGTTCGTTATTTCTTTTCTTTATGGTCACCTCCAGATTGTTCTTAGGAAGCAGCTGGGTAGGACTGGAAATGGAAGAACAGTGGAGGGATGGTAAAACCTTTAATAGTTATAATCATTGCTCTTCTTGAGAGTCTGTTGTGTGCCAGCTATTTTATGGATGTGTTATTATTAACCCCTTCTCATATGGGATAGGCTTGCACCAGGTCGCATAGCTAGTGAGCAACAGAGGTGGGAATTTTTCTTCCGTCTTTTCTGACTCCAAAGCATTGAGGCCTTTCCCCTCCTCCTTGGAATATGATTGTTTGGAGTGGGAAAGCCTTTGGCAGTTATTTACCTCCTCATTTTGCAGTCAGAGAAACCTTAAGCCCAGTGCACTGAAGAGGCTCAGAATTAAAACTGAGCAGCAGTGGGTGAGGGACCTCTCTAAGTCAGGATTTCTGGGCTTTATTGGCTCATCAGGAGCAAGTCATTTTTTCTCTCTCAGAGACTCTTCTCATCCATAAAATAGCTCTGTGTGTCTTCCAGCAATGCAATTAAAGAAAATATATATATAGCTATGAGGTTTAACTTACATACAGTAAATCTTACCCATTTTTAGGTGTACAGCTCTGTGAACTCTGACAAATGTATATAGACCTGTAACCACCACCACAATCAAGGTATAGAATACTTCCATCAACCCAGAAAGTTCCCTAGTATCCTTTTGTGTTATTGTCCTCCCTTCACCTTAGCCCCTGGCAACTACTGGCCTGTTTTCTGTCACTATAGTTTGAGCAATGTGATTTTTCCTGGAACCATTGATAAGCCAGATTTTATTATTGTTTCTGCAGAAACATGTCCACAGATTTAGTTTAAAACCATTAAAACCTTTTCAGGGTCTGTCCAGGGTCCAAGAAGCATCCAATATGACTTCCTAAGCTTCCTTTCCCTGTAATGCTGGCTTTTGTTAGAGATTAAGGAAACTTAGAAATAGATCACCTAGTGTTTTTCCAGTTCCTCTGAGCTCTAGTGCTTGGGGATATGGTGGGGTGTAGGGGGAAGGCCAAGAGACCACATATTCAGAAGAGCCACTAGCTTCTCATGCAGCCAAAACAATATTACTTTTACTTAGTTTTATATTGAGGTTCTACTTGTTTTTATTTGACTAAAGAGTTCTGCTGCCAAAAAATAAAAAGTTTGAAACATCACAGATATAATTAAAACCCTTCATTCCTGTAGTCACTTCCTTTTGCAACCTGAATAACATCCAAACTCCTTACTTGAAGAAATGGACCCTGTCTGTCTTGCCAACTTCAGCTTTCTCCCTGTGTCCCTCACTCAGTACTCTGCAGTTTCACTAGCCTTTTCTGTCCTTCATTCATGCTTGCCTCAGGCCCTTTGTATTTGCCCCCTGGCTGTCCATACTCTGTCCCAAGGGCATCTGCTTGGGGCTACTGCTTCGTCATTTGGTTTCCACTAAGAATACCACCTCCTCAGAGAGGACTTCTGTGGCCTCCCAGACCCTCTTTCCCAGTATTCGATAAATTCAAGGGTAAGTTCATAGCATGTACCAAGACTTAAAATTACTTTGTTTGTTGGTCTTCCTCTATACAATTTCAGTTCATTAAAAGCACAGAGGTTCAGCTGCTTTGCATTATCAGTGAATTCCTATACCTACAACAGTGTCAATGCTGTTCAATACATGTCTTCTAATTGATTTTTATTTATAGAGAGGAAACTGAGGCCCAAATAAGTAATGTGACCAACATGCCCAAGGTTGCATGCAAGTCAATGACAAAACCAGGATTTGAACCCAGTCAGCCTGGCTTCTGAGCTCAGTGCTTTTTTTACACTTGACCATTCTTCTGAGTCCCGGATGGACTCAGAAGGATGACTCTGAGATCTTGCAAGTTAATGAATCTAAGAAAAGTGTAGTTGTGGCCACCGCACTGTGAGAGAAGAATGGACTTGGGTATTTTACAGATTTCAACTGTAAGGATTGAGACCCCAAAGAATTTTATGGTAAACAGATGTTCAGCTAACAGAACATCTGGCCAGTTTCAAATAGCTCACATAACCTGCTGTGCTGGTTAGTAAAGCTCTGTATGTGGTGATTGGTTCCTGTACCCTATCCCGTGTGGAATCCTTTTGTCCTCGCTATACAGAGGGCAAAAAAAGCCTCGAGAGGGAGCCTGGATGCTGCTAGTCTTTCACATTGTGGAGTCTGTGAAAGAGAACACTGGATTAGGAGTCTGAAGGTCTGGGTTTTATGTCTAATCGTGCTATAACAGTGGCTAGTTTCTTTTCTCTTTTTGAAGCTCCAGACTTCCTCATTTGTGAAATGGGACTGATGAGTTGTAGGGAAACTATGGACATGCTTAAAAATAGTTTAAAATTCTCTTTATGTATTTTGAATAGACATCATATACATGGTTCAGAATTTCAAAGTTTTCAAGATGTGAAATGGCATGCAGTACTCCTTTCCACATTTGTTCTCGAAGCCACTCAATGCCCTCTACTTAGAGGCAGTCAGCCCTGACTGGTGTGGCTCAGTGGGTTGGGCATCATCCCACAAACTGGAAAGGTCACTGGTTCGATTCCCAGTGAGGGCAGTGCCTGGGTTGCAGGCATGTGAGAGGCAAACAATTGATGTTTCTCTCCCTCTCTCCTCCTCTCTTCTGCTCTAAAAATAAATAAATAAAGTCTTTAATAACCAAAAGAAGGATATTGAAAAGAAAGAGGCAATCAGTGTTAACCCATTTCTTATCTATCCTGAAAGTGCTGTTGTAAATAAAACCAAGGAATCACAAAATATAAGGAATTATTTTATTGCTATTGTTACCATTTCCTTCCCTACATTTTAAAAATTATTTCTTTTTTTAATTTAAATTTTATTTTTCAGTTATATTCAATATTATTTTGTATTAGTTTCAGGTGTACAGCATAGCGGTTAGACAGGCATATATTTTACAAAGTGTTCCACTCACTCAGTATTTCCAGTACCTGCCTGGCTGCATACATAGTTACTACAACATTATTGATTATATTTCTTATGCTGTACTTCATATCCCTGTTACTATTTTATTTTGTAAGTACCAATTTGTACTTCTTAATTCCTTTCACCTATTTGACCCAGTCAGTCCCCCAACCCCTCTCCTCTCTCGCAACCACCAGTCTGTACTCTGTTTCTATGAGTCTGTTTCTATTTCATTTGTTCATTTATTTTGTTCTTTAGATTCCACATATAAGTGAAATTGTATGGTGTTTGTTTTTGTCTGATTTACTTCACTAAGGATAATACTCTCTAGGTCCATTCACACTTAGATAA